TACACTGCGAATGTAAGTCAATGTCGATAATATCTTCAACCTATCTAGGTACTAGGTTGGGGGTGTCATAGAGTGGTATTAGAACATGTTTGACCCTAATGGTTTGATTTAGGATGACCAATTGATTAAGCACATGCAAGTCAAGTCTTGAAGACAAGTAAGGATCAAAGGTATGTGATGCTCAATAAATGCATGTTTGTATGGTATGCTTATTTAAGCCTATGTGAATACTATTTGGACTCTAATTGTTTGAATGTGTATGAATTAATGACCGAATTATTTAGAAATATTTAAAGGAGATGAGTCACATAAAATGTAATTAAAAGAGAATGATCTAATGCTTATCCTCTTCAAAAAGCACACAAGGCCTTGCATGTGGAGGGGTATCCAAGGGAAAGGTCAACAAAGAGAATGATCTAATGAAAACTCTTTGTAATTCATGAAATGAGAATGATCTAATGAATACCCTTGTGCGCTAAATGAAAGAGGACATGCTAAGAGAATGATCCGGTGAATACACTAAGCATGTAAAGGAAATGATCTTATGGATACCCCTAGATGTTTTAAGGAGGACGTGTCAAGAGAAAGATCTAAGTGATATGTTAAGGAAATGATCTAATGTATACTCTTAAGTTATGAAAATGAGATTCACAAGAGAATAATTTAGTACATACTCTTGTGAAGAGGATAGAAAAAGGATGTTGCACTATAAAGATGAATAAAAATGAAAGGATTCATGAATACGAATTCAAAAGCATTAAGTTCCATGATTAATTGTTTAGGACCATTAATGTTAAATGATTGATAATAATTGAAGGATATTAGTGATCATGATGGAAATTCCAAGGATGAATTTTTATAAGGAGGTGAGGATATAATATCTTTGACCTAAAACTTTCTTAAGAGTAATTATGTTTGAAAATATTTATGTGACTGAGGATTAATAAATTATATTTGAATAAATAATAAATTAATATAATCATAACTATTGTGGAGGGTAAATGAATTAAATGAAAGGTGAATGAATTAATTAAAGGATAAATTAAAGGATTACAATATTTATGTTTGTAAGAATTATTCATTTAATTAATGTATGAATATTTATTTAAAGTAAGGATTGAAAAATTATGCATGGATAAGAATAAAATTAATGCAAATTTGATTATTATGATGAATTAATTGGAAGGTAAATGAATCAATTAAAGTGTGAATTAGAAATTGATATTATTAATTGATATGGTTATGTTTTAATCTAGGGACACAATTGCAAAACCTATGGGGCATAATCGCAAAGACTAGAACTTTAGGTACTTGATTAAAATAATTAAGAAACTTTAGGAAATTAAATTATCTTTGGAATAGGCCTAGGATAAGGGTTAAATTGAGGAAAATTGTGAAGTTCCAAACTAAAATGGAGCCGCTAATTACAAAGATTAGGAGTTTAGGGACTAAAGTGTAAAGTGGTAATATTTTTGGTAACATTTTAGGGGACTTATTAATTTATTTTAAGGGAAAAAATTATCTAGAGAGATATGGAAAATTCGACTGAAGAGGAGAAGAAGAGAGGTGGTAAAACAAGAAGAAACAAAAGAAAATATCTAAGGAAAAAAAGATGAGCAAGAAGAAGAAAACTCTAGAAACCATTAACAACCAACAGTAAGATTAATCTAAGTGTAACACCTTTGGCTTAATCCTAAGCAAAAACTAAGTCTATAAAAGATAAAGAAGAAGATGGAAGAGGGGTTACAAGCTAGAAGCATTCAAGTAGCACTTAAGGAGGAGCTACTCCAACCAAGAGGAAAAACCACCCAACCACCACTCCAAACCATCTTAGATATCTAATAAAAATCCTAAAATCACCTTTATAACCAGCTTGGAAGATCAAACATAAGAGGGGGAAAAAGTACTATTTGGACCGAAATTATTGGAAGAAAGAGGAGAAAGAAAACCAAGGAGGAAAAAAAGGAGAATTGGGAAAATTTCAAGTGAGGTAAGTGTAATCCTCACTACACCATTATAAAATTCTATTTTTTATGTGTAATTAATGTTGATTTTAAGTTTAACTCGCTTATGGATTAATGGTTAAATTATTAGAGAAACAATGTTGTTAGTTGAATTTGGTGGTTATATTGATGAATATGCATTTTTGGTATTGGAATTGTGATGATTAGATGATTAATTAGGATAAATGAATATGTTTTGAGTTTGTTCTTTTTCTTAGAAGGTGGTTGAGTACCTTTAAACATGAATAAACTTGTGGTTTCAAGACCTAATGTTTGCAAAGTGTTTGATGATATATTGAATTGGAAAACTTGAAACTTGGTCACTTTGTTAGAGAATTTTGTCTAAGTACGAAGTTTTGATTGCTTGATTAACTTAACCTTTTTTATGATAAAACATAATAGGTTAAGAGGGTAAAGGTGAAAATTTGAGGTAAAAGGAAGAAATGGAAGTTGTCCTTCCATTGGCCTAATTTTGGCCAAGAATATGAAACAAAGGACTAATTGATTAATTTTAGTTTAATGTTAATTTTGAGATTTAGAGGTATGAAATTTCATGAAAAATGATTGTAATCACATGAAAAATGGATGGGTTATGTTACTTAAATAATTTAGTTATGTTGTGTTTAAGGAAAGATCTATGTTCATCGTTTATACATGTTTTGCATGCATATTTAATTTATGTGGAATATGTATTTGATATATTATGTATGTTACATGTTCTTGAGGTTTGAAAGTATGCATGTTGAGGTTCATGTTAATGCATTGCATTTATATTTAAATGCATTTGCACATTATAATCATGAAAGAGATTTTACATTCGTGATTTGATGAAAGGAAAAGGAAAAGGAAAAGGAAAGGTTTGCAAAAAGGAATGGCTAGGTACCTTCTTGAGGTATGAGAGAGGAATGATCACCCTCTCTTGAAAAAAAGGGCATGTTAAGGGAATAATCTGGTGTATACTCTTAGTATGCAAAGAAAAATGAGGACAAGCCTAAGGGAATGATCCGGTGTATACTCTTGGCATGTAAAAGAAAATGAGACATTCTAAGGGAATTTTATGGTTTATATTCTTAGCATGTAAAGAAAAATATTATGAGAAGTTACCTAATGCTTTCGTGAAGTTTTCACAATTGCATGTTTTAAAATAGAGTCGATTATATACACAATCGAAAGGATGTACTCGAAGAGAAAAATGATTTTAAAAAGGCACAAAAATAATTTTTAAATGCATCACATGCATTGCATGAATTACACTTACTTTGGCATTGCTCATCTTTGTTTCATATGATTTAGGAGAAAAGAAAGTTGATTAAGGACCATTGCCAAGAAAAGTTGAAGACTTGCCCTTTTTGTGTGCTTAGCATGTTTAAGTGTGAGAAACTTTACTTAACTTAATTTTGATTATATATATATTTGGTAGCAAGTTAAGAAATTTTTAGGTTTGTATGAATGAATGGAATGGTTTGAATTTTTAAGTTTGATATTGTGTTAATGATTGTTTAGATATATAACTTGTTAAACTAAATGGTCATTTGGATAATTGGTATAATTCAAAGGAATTAATTGATTGAGGGAAGGAATGACTTAAAGGTATAATGAAGTTAATATTTAAATGGTTACTTAATTTAGTAACTAATTAGTTAAGGATAAAAACTAAGAAATTAAAAAGGGCATGACAAAAAGGGCAATAAGGTTAAGACTTGAAAGGAAATTAATGGTTAAGGAGTACATATATTTAATGGGTTAGTTATAAACAAATTGGGAACCAAAGTTCCTTAAGTCCAAAAAATGTTTTAAATGTTCAAAATATTAGTTAAAGATCTAAATGAATTTATTAAATGTTTTATTGAATTTTTGAATAATTTCTTTGCCTATGGAATTTTTATAAAAATAAGAGTATTAAATCTTGATTTAATGGTTTCTATTCATGGATTATTTTCTAATTAAATGTAATACTTGATAATTCAATTATTTTTGAAATAAAATCAATATCAAATAATCCTACCTTATTGTGTAAAATAATTGAAAATGAAATATTCTTAAATTAAAATTTATATGAATTTCTAAAAGGAATTTAAGAAAAATAAGAGACATGGTTCAACTTATTTTAATGTAAAGTATTTTATTTAAATGATTAATTTTGATTTCAAAGATATGGATTTTTGACCAAAATATGACATTTAATATTTCTATACATAGTATAGGAATATTAATTGAAGTTAGTTGAATTTTTGAAAAATTTTATGATGATATTTTATTAAATACGGACCTATTATTTTATATTATTTGGAACGTCATATAAGAATTGCCCACTTAACCAATAAACTGAAAATGTTAAGGGAAGAGGTTTGTTGGCTTACATTTATTGCACTCCGAATATAAGTCAATGTCGATAATATTCTAGACCTATTTAAGTCTTAAGTTGGAGGCGTTATAGAATAATATCGTATTGTATTTATATATAGAATTACGTACAATATAGGAAAAATCATAATACCTTAGAATACAAGAAATATAGGAAACAATATAGGAAATTATAATTTATAATATAGAAAAATACTTATGACGATAATATAGGAAAGTACTCCTGACTTAATACTTAGGAAAAGATTATTTTATTTTTTTTAATTTTTTTAAAACATAATCAACTCATTACTTATTTTCTCTATAGCCAGTGCAATATTAAGTTTCTTAGTCTTCTTAAAGGGTTAGGTGATGACTTTTTTCTTTTTTAATTCTTTTAGTTCAGAAGTCTTGTACATCGAGTACAATAATTCCATTAATTCTCTAATTGGAGGGCCCGAACCCCGTGCTATCCTCATAATACGTGACTCGTTTATAAGTTTTGGATTTGAACTATCCAACTCTGTAAATCATCAGCAGCGATTAGAAATTTAAAACCCAGTAGCTTCAATCAACAAGAGAATATATATATTTTTTTTCCCGAAACAAAGTGTACTCTAAAATAAATATATATGTAGAATAGATAATGAATATCTACTTGCCTTCATCAGTCATTGAATCCATCATGATCATGAAGTGCTTAATCTTGGCCTTTCCTTCCTTTTCATGGCCTGTAGGCATGAATTCAGTGCTAAAACCTGGAAGCATTGACAATGCCTGCACGAAGCATCCAGCGGTTCCAAATGCAATTTAAAAATTGTGTCCCTATATCAAACCCACAACTGAGAAAAACTCAAACGTACTCTGACAAAGATTCAATCAAACAGGATAGTGAAATAAGAACCTGGCCAATGGGACCTATTTTGAGAGCATTCTGGTATTGCTCATACATAATCCGTAAGGTAAACTTCCCTTCTGAAATTTTTGGCAGAAGCTCCGATTGTTGATCCATGGGAACGAGGTCATGGATTTTGTCCATGAATCCAGACAAGTCACCCATCCCTAGTTGGAAGATTCATGCTAGTTATATTAATACTGTGAGCATTTTATAAGAATTGAAGTAAACTTTTAAGAGGCCAGAAGAACATCATCAAGGAAAAGGTATCCAATCGAAATCAGAGAAGCAAATACCTAAAAGGCGGCTAACAAAAGGTTTAACATCGAAGACTTCAAACTCGTCCACATGCTCTCCTGTACCAATAAAAATGACAGGACTCTTTGTTGCTGCGACTCTGCACATGTAAACAGAAAAGAAAAAAGACACGACATAAAAAGGACAAAGAGACCTCAGAAATATAAGGACTTGAAGGTTGCTGGAAAGTAAATTGTGTTCAACAATGTCTTAAGAGTAACATTTTAATCAAAAACAGTTAAACTGATCGAACTTGGAGAAGATGCAGAGAGAATACAATGTATGACAATAAGAATACTCAGGCACTAAGAGCACCACCACCCTTTGCATGACCATCCATTTTGGTGACAATCACAGCTCCAACTGAAACAATTTGCTTAAATGCTTGAGCTTGATCAAATGCAGCTTGTCCAATACTGCTATCCATAACAAATATAACAAGATCCGGTTGCTGAAAAAACAAAAATTAATAACACTTGAGTCCTGTAATTCATAACAAAATCAAAGCATGCAGAATGTAGACACATATATAAAATACCGTTGCTTCGTAAACTTGGCGCATCTCTTCAAAAAGTGCAGCCTCCTGCTTATGCCATCCACTCATATCGACAATTATAAGATCATAATTTTCCTTCTTGCATCTTTCCACACCTTCTACGGCAATTTTCACAGGATCTGATTCTACGTAACCGTATAGACAACAAAAGAATTACTGGAGATTCTACATTAGTTAGAAATTGTTAGAAATTAATGCATATAAACGTAGGTGAGGCCAACAAGTAGAAAATTAGCACTAATATTACCTTCCATGAAATGGAATCTTGGCTTTAGTTGCATTCTGCTTTAACTGATCAAAAGCACCAGCTCTAAACGTATCTGCACAAACTAATGCAGGTTTCCATCCCCTTTTCTGATGATAATGCGCGTATTTTGTGCATGTAGTTGTCTCCCCGCACCCTAAAAAACTTAAATTCACATTAATTACTCTATAAAATAAAATATATAGATTCTGAAAACAATTTTTTTTTTTTTTTAAATTTCTAGGCAAAATAACAATGAAGAGCATGTAATGTTACCTTGTAAACCAACAAGCAAGACAACACTTGTTTTGCCTTTCTTTGGAACAAAAGAAGGCTTTCCTGGGTCCAACATACGGCAAAGCTCATCAAATGTTGCTTGGTGGATGATTTTGCGTTTGTCGTGACCAGCAGCAAGATGGTCCAGATTGATGACTTGCTTAATATTGGTTTGCATGTGACGTACAAGTTTAAATTCAACATCGGCTTGGAGAAGAGCGCGAGTGATGTCGTTTAGGCAATCGTTTAATACTTTCTGGTCGATTACCATTTCATTGCCCATTCGCTGGAGTGCTTGGGATATGCTCCCTCCTAACTGTGCTAACACCATTTTTTTTTTCTTATTGAATGTTTGCTAGTTCAAAATCCAGCGAATGGGTTGGAAAGATTATACGGCGGCCGGAAAGAGGATCAGGGTTTTATTTTCCTTCTGTTCATAGAATCCTAGACCTATAATGAGTTGGAAAGATTATATATCTCAGAAGCAATTAAACTTTGGTTAAATCTATTAATTGCATCCTGTATTTTCACCGATTCATAAAAAAAAAAAAAAAGAAAAAAAAAGGCTCTTATATTATTAATTTGATCAGTTAAATACTTGTATTTTACATTTTAGCCAATTGAATATAACTTTTTAAAATGAAAAATTTATGTCAGTTATTTGAGTACTTTTATTCACTATATGATTTGTTATTATTATTAACTTTCATTTTTTTTATTAATGTTATAATTCATTGAGTCTATTGAAATTGAAAATATAGGTATTTAATTGAATGAATTAATAATATATGGGTCTTTTTTATGAATTTGTAAAGACATAAGATTCAAATAATGAGTTTAACCCTCAAAATTATGTTGAAAAAGATTGGCTTTGAAAAATTGAGGATAAATATGGGTAATTATGGAAGAAAAACCATGCAACATGAAACATGTCGTTCGCACAACTGACGGTCATTTGATTTCCCTGACAAAGCTTCGTTTTAAATGACACGTCGCTCATATACGTTCAGCTTTGTGATAATCCTTTCCTAAGCGGTTCCATTAAGACCTTTAATTCCACGTGTCCTGTCAGTTCGAAATCTTAAGATCCGCAAAGACAGGTAGTTACACTCATTACGTGCCACGAATTTCATAACGATCCCAACCGCCAAAAAGAAAATCTCGTTTGTTAATTTTGCCTCCCTTTTTCTGTTCTCTGTTCTAAGTGTTCCCTTCAAGACCAAACAGAGAAGTATTGGAAGAGAGTGTTGTTAGGAGTTCAAACGAGAACCAGTCAACAAGCCCATCAAGAAAACCAGAAAAATATTTGGCTTTCAGGATTAATTGCTTTCTCTTTCAAACCTTGCAGCTTTGAGGTAAAAACTCTCTCTGTAGTTTCAGTTTTTTTTTTTTTTTTTTTTGCATGGAATGTTTTATTGATTATATTAACATACACATACATTAGATTGCGCTTCATCAGCATGTGTTTTCTTTTCGTTTGTGCTGTGATTTAATTTCTATTGATCTTTCGTTGAAGATTTTTCTCTTGTTCCCTTAATTTGTGCAATTGTGCATTTATTTTTTGTTTTCTATATGTTTGTTATTGCAATTTTTTTTTTCAATTTCTTTTGTATTTTTCCTTTGGTAAATTCTGTGATTTCCATTTCTTGCAACTTGCCATCATTTCTGCGAGACTGTTCGTCGTGATTTGTCTTTTAAGAATTTTGTGGGATTGAAGTTTAAGAGAATTTGAAAATTTAAGACCTTGGTCTAATTGAAAGAGTGATGAAGGAAATTTTTATTTCTATTTTCAGTGTTCCGAGTGGAGTAGAATAGAAATGGAGAAGAGGGTGTTATTAGGAGTTCAAAATAAGAACAATCCCATCAAGAAAAACAAGAAAAGGTTCCTCAAGAAAGTTGTGGACTATATGAAATCTGATTCTTACATGTTTGCTCCTTTAATCTCTAACCAACCTGCTGATTTTCTTGCATCAAAGAGCAGCTCTTCTTCTATTACAGGTAATAACAAGTTTCAGTCCTGTACTTTTTCTTCCATTTTACTAACGGGCTTTTGATAGATTCTAATGAATTTAATTTTGTTCTTAGCTGTGGAAATGAAAGAAGGCATGAAAGAGAGGAATAAGAGATTGCTGGAGAAGGTTGGAGATTACCTGAAATCTGATACCTACATGTATGCTCCCTTCTGTGATCAACAGGTTATTTCTCTTAAAGGTACTGTTCCTTCTTCCTGTTTTTTTTTTCCCCTCCCTTTTTGTTCTTTGCATCCATCAAGCCACACTACCTCTGATCATTCATTGTTTTTTGTTGATGTGCAATTGAAGAACATAAATTTTATGTTCAGTTATTTTATATTCAACACCATGCTGTAAAATGTCTAGTATTAGTAACAGCAACAACAATTACAACAAGAAGCCTGATCAATCCTAAACTAGTTGTGGTCAGCTATATGAATCTTTTTGTGCCATTCTGTGCAGTCATCGCCAGTGTAGCGAGTGCTAGGTGGGCACATCCCATTGTTTATACCAACATGATTCATATCATAGAAATCACAAGGTTTTATGCTGGCTTTCAACCTACTGTAATCCTCCTCCTCTATCCCGTCTTGAGACAAGCTATTCTAACCTAAGCTAGCATAGGCAGACTTCTTATATTAGTGATAGGCGTGTACCACTAATGCAACTTGGTTGGTTTAGCCGAAACACAGTTTCTCACAGATTAGCTCCCTTACCAAGTATTTTAAGTTTCGTAAAGCGACACCTTGATTTCTGGCTGGCTGGTTTAGGATGGTACTTCTCTAGTTGGATAACCGTATGCAAAGACATCCTTAAATGTTAAATTCTGTGATTATAATCCTTTTTGCTTAGGCTAATAATTGATAGCTTATATTCTGCTCTTTTTAGCTTTAGCATCAATCCGCTAGTATTGGATCCTATAGACAGAAAGCACGTTTCCTATTGTTGAGTAATTTGATAGGAAGAATACCTGAAAACTGTACCTACAAAATAATGCATGATGCGCCAATGTGTGTATATAGTAGGTACCAAAGTATCTCCAAGTATTTGAACTGCTATTCCATTGCTTAATAATTTGATTTATGGAGTGTATCTGATACAGACTTGATATGAACTTGTAAGGTGGTTTTAGAGTACTCATGCTTCATAGTGCTGCTCTTAGTACAGCATTATTTGAAGCAAAAGCTTATCCTAAGTTTTTTATGTGTAATTTCTTATCGTGAATAGATGTATGCTAGCATATGCTTCAAGTTGCTCGAGCTTCCAGATAATGGAACATTTTTCTGTTTGTTGGATGTTTTTTTTATTTTATATCTGCTAGTGCAGCTCCTCAACCTGTTTTTGCATTATGTTCTCTGAAGAGCGCTGTGATCGTGCAGACTCTTTTTCCTGAATATGAATAGATCTACCGTGTTAGTTATTTATGAACTTACTCGGATATCATCTCCGATGGGACAAAGCTTCACTCATATTCAGTCATGTACTTCTTAAAGGCTTCATCCATGTCGCCAAGCAGCATAAATGCTCAATCATTGTTCAATGTTCATACTGCTGCTAACTTACAGTAAACCTACAATGTCATTGAATTCTGTTTGGAAGTTCAAACAGTTGCTAATTCCTAAATAAACAAATACTAATTCCCATTGTTGCCTTTCATCCCCCCACCAAGGAGACTTGATGGTCTACAAAGGGCATTACTTAAAACGAAGTATTAGAGGTTTTCACAGCATTGGTTCTTGTGCTTTAACTGGTATGATTTGAATCGGTACTTAAATTTAGCACATATTGCTTGCTCCTTATACTATTGGCTACTATTAATTGTAAGTGAGTTTAATCAGATTATAGCTTGATGAGCCATTTCCTGGAAAGTTGGAAGTATGAGTTTCGAGATTCATGAGTTAAATCAGATTTAGCTTGATGAGCCTGTTCCTGGAAAGTTGGAAGTATGAGTTTTGAGATTCATCGGATTTTTGTCATGAATAAATCCTTCGAATCACCTTCATGGTAGTTACAGAATTCCCTTGCCAAGGATAATTGAAGTCGGATGAATTTTTGGGGTGCACGTTTCATAAGTTCATGTTCATTTTGGAGTAGTACGAACTCAATAACATGTAGTTATCAAAAGAAACCTAGCATAATGTGATGGTTCTGTTCTGGTTTTTGCTTTGGTAATGCTATATAAGTCTAAGCAACTCTGGTTTCAAGTCAAAGATCCTTCAGTTTGGTTTGAATCATGGATTAGGTTTTGATTATCTTACCATATGGATCAGTTTTGTTTGGTTTCGTACTTGTTTCTCATTTTATGCATTCATTTATATTCCATGTTAATCCCTTCATTTTGAAGCATAGAAATGATCCATGTAATTAAGGATTGTACTAATCAACTTTTCACATTTTCCAAGCCTTTTAATTTATTTCCATCATTTCTGAGTTTGTTTTATTTTCAGGACATGCTAGGTACATCAAAAACATTACTATGGAAGAGTCAACCAGGAGATTAACTAGGAAGGATAATCAATTAACTGTTGAGACATCAAATGTAACAGTAGAAGACCAATGCTCTGAACTTCCTGGAAAAAGCATCTCTGGCCAGCAGAAATTTGTACACAAGGAAACAGTGAAGCACATGGTTTACCTAAGTTGCCGCTCTTCTCTGTCAGGTTATTTCCTTATGCCACATGCAATTTTTGCTATTTATCCGGGTTTCACCCTCTGCTCCCTCTGAACTATGACCGTCTTTTGGTTATTTAGAAAAATGGAGGAGGATACTTGGATCTTAAAGAGTTACGTTTCAAGGTTCTCCAATTATACAGGCTTTCTGTGCTGTTTCTTGTGTGAGTTTATTGGAATATCCTGGACTGGGACTGAAATTCAACTGTCAGGTTATGCGCATGAAACTATGATCTGGTGGAATGCAAGCATGTATTGTTGCTCAAAATTATTGCGAAAACAATACAGCGCTTTCAACATAGTAATAAGCAAGATGCTATCCAACGTTGGTTTTTCTACAATTGAAAAACCAACGTTGAATGGCAGAACTTACGTCTGTTAACCAAGAAAAAACTTCTCTGTTCGTTTTGCAATAAAAATGATTTAAGGTGCAGAGTTGTTTAAATTTTTTCTCTGTCAATGGAATTTTTAAATGACTGAGACATTGTTTGTTTTTTGTTGTGCTATTAGTTCCCTGAAAAAAGTTAATTGGATTTTGAAACTTTGTTTGTACTGTCACAGGGAAGGGAATGCATGACGCACAGCTACAAAGCTTCTTGTTGACTGAACCGTAGATAAAGCATGACCTGTATGCAAGCATCTTGCTGTAGTCAAGTGTGCATAGCATGAACTTTGTTTTGAACTTGCTTTGTTTTCATCGTGTTGTCACAGATGAGCTCTTCTATAGAATACACACACTTGATGTGTTGTAAACTCAGAAAAGTGTTTTTCGTATTTGTTTCTGTAGCTGCATGTGTCTTGCCCTTCAGAATCTCAGATATAATTTTCTCAACTTAACGTGACAGGCTGTTAATATTTGTCAGAAGTTTGTATAGGGAATCACTTGATCAATCGTGGAAACTGTACAATTACGACAGTTCAAAGGATTAGACTGCATAAAGTGCTCCTTGTTCTGGGGCAGGATAAATGAGTTTTTTAAGAAATTCGAAATGCCATTTGAGCTGATTATACCTAGTATGGGCGGGACAGCATAACTGTACTAGTTTCAGACTTGATGCGAAATGAACCAAGGTTGAGGCATTGGAGATGGTGCAAACACAACATCGCTTTTATAAGGTAACAACGATGGAGATCTCTGTACTGTTGGTATTTTCTGGTTAATTTGTGTTGTCTATATCATTGATTGAATTATGTTGAATAATGAATTATCATTTCACTATTAGACTAGACGCGCAGGTTGTCGCGTTAGGCAATCTACAGTTAAAAAGTTTCTGTAAGCATTATGGCTCCATTTCCAGCGTTGCTGTAGGCTGAAAAATCTACAATGCATTACTGGCATATGCTCTTGGTTGTTTATAATTGGCAGTTACTAGGTACCATGTCAACATGGTAGCCAGTTCTTTCAAGTTCTGCACCATGGAGCCTTCTCTGTGCACCTTTTCTTACAATTTACAAATTCAAGTCACCATTTGTAGTTATGCTTTTCATGATTGTGAAAGTTTTGATGACGAAGGTGGCCCAAAATATTACCGTTTTTATTTTTCATTTTTATGGGGAGATGACCGAATATTAATTGGTAAATTTCAAATAGCTATCTTGCTGGCAGTTTTTCTACTATCTACTGTATAGGATTAGCTGTTGAACTGAAACCAATAACCTCTAAGCTCTACTATTACGCCTTTTCTTTCAATAATTCAACAATCCTTTTCATGAAAGCACACGTGGATTTGTGAGAGTCGTAGACTGCAAAACATTGAAGCATATGATAGCTTTCACTGTAGGACGACCACGAGCTGCATGATTTGGGTTAGGTACTGTTGTGCCATTATGTGCATCAACGGCTTTCCCAGCTGAAGCTGAAAATGAAAGGATACAATTATTGACAGAGAGCTTCTCGCATTATGGTAAATAAGAGAGTATTTATCTTTTGAAGGTCAAACTCCATTTTGCTCGGATTTCACATGTCAATCAAATAGAACAATGGAAATCTCCTATGTGGTTAAATTATTTTGGTTCACGTGGATCAGTTAATTAATCCACTATAGACTTTTCTCCAAGGCAAATACATAATTACCGGATATTTTATGGTATTTGTTAGAGAATATATTTTATATTAAATGGTTAAATTAAAAATAAATAATATATAAAGTTTTAAAACGGTAATTTACTATAAGACTTAAGTGTTTTTTTTATAAAATTCAATCTTAACTATCTAACTACTGTATAGTATCACAATATCAAATAAGCCTAACACCCAACAAAAATCTTAAAGTTTAATTTCAACAAATGGACTATAAGTGATGAGGGAGAATGTTAGAGCACGTATAAAATCTTGGAACTCAAGCTACTTGACGGATCACAAAAGATTGATTGCAAGTGAGTTAGAGTACATATCTCACATTGAATAGTTAAACCAAAGATAAATAATATATAAAGTTATGAATGAGTCACTTATCACAAAACTTAAGTCTCTTGAATAAAACCTAATCTCCATTATCTAACTTTATAGTATTTAATGATAATTCTACAATAAAAAAATAACAGTAACGCACCTGTAATGTGTTTAGGTGTACATGTAAGTGGTAACTTAATTTATATTGAGGAAGAAATAACTGTAGCCTAACCATCTAGATTTTTAGATTAAAGTGGTGTCTATCTTTACATGTAAGTTCTCGGTGTGCAAGTTCAAGGGGCTTCACGTTCTTAATAGATCTTCCTGACATGATACGAGGGCTTACCCGCTCTAAGAATGCCAATTGATAAATTGCAAAAACCTCTAAATTCATTTGGCATGATGCTTTTAGTGAAAAATTCATTGGATTAATGATGGGAAAAAATGCTTTCACGCATTATATGTGAATGAAAGTAATATTTTTTTTCCTACATGAATGATAATAACCGATAAAAAAGATATTATTTTTAAAGAAATTAATGATAGTCTATT